CGAAGTAGAGTTTCTGATGCCGACAACGCCCAGCTACCTGCCTAGAGCGGACTTCAATTCCCAGTTTGCAACGTGCAAGGGGTCCTAAGGGCGAAAAGGAGCGCGTCGCACCCTGGAAGCAAGTATCGCGATAGGCCTGTGGATTGTGGGAATTGTAGTTTGTGCGTGCGACGCACACCAAGTTATCTTACTTAGCGACCCCTCCTTGGTTTTCTAAGGTGGTATCGCTAGGGAAGTAGATTGCCCAACCTTCCTTCGGAGATAGGATGCACTCAAAACCAAAAACCACACTCACTGTCCTCCAGTCGATCCCGACTCATAGCGACCCCTTCTTGGGTTTCTGAGGCGGTATCGGTAGGGAAGTAGATTTCCCAGTCTTCCTTCCGAGAAGTGGCTGGTGGGCTTGAACCGCCAGCCTTCAGTTAGCAGTCAAATACCTTAGGCACTATGCCACCAGAGCTCCCAGGATGGATTCAGGCAGGAACGATTTGCCTGCCGGGAAGGGATACTTATGAAAGCTGGAGTACTGCGTTCTGGGATTTGTAGTCTGAGAGTCTCATCTCGAACTCTGGGCGGTACTTCATGCTCGGCCCCTGGGTGCCCGCCCCTCCTCTTGGCTTCGCTGACAGAGATTGCCAGTTATCTCAGCCTGACTGTGGGTTGACTAGAGGAAGCAGTGGAGAAGGAAACCGCGTTATTGTGCCTGACGTTAGGCGTTTAGTTGGCATTGTTGCCGGGTAACTGTATTCTACCCATCTTTGTTGTTAAGGCACACAGCATCCTCGGAATCCTAAACTAGAAAACGGTTTCGGAGGTCGTCTGATTTAAACTCATTTCCAGTGTCTAGAGAGGAGCAGTGATTTGTCTAGGTCACATAGTGAATTTATGGCAGGCCTAGAAATAAAACAGATTCTTTTTTTAAATTGTGATTTGGGTGCACATTTACAAAGCAGATTCGTTTTACTCTCAACAGTTGATGTACATTTGTCTTCACTGCCTGATTACAATCCCCAACCATAAAAAGCTCTCTTTCACTTGACTACCCTTTCCCCTTGCCTTTCTTATCTATGCATTACTGTCTGCCCAGCCTTCCCTCTGTGCAAATGATGCACCTCTGATGTCTCTTGGTTGATTGATCTAGGGGGTACATCTCCCTAGGCTACATGGGTGCATCTCCCTGGGGTAGTTGTTCTGCTTGTAGGTCTTTCTACTGTTTGGCTGCAAGCTAATCCACGGAAGTGAGTCCAGTGCCAAGCCAGAAGGATAATCCAGGGCCATAGTCTGGGGGGTTCTTCCACCAGCTTCTATATGACCAGTAATTCTGGTCGTTATGTTCTTTAATTTTGTCCCACATTTTTCCCCCCATTTTATCCAGACTCTCCAATTTTGATCCCTTTTCAAGTGGTTGGCGTTGGTAGCCAGGAACCATCTAGTTCTTCTGGTCTCAAGGTCGTGAAGACTGAGGTGCCTGTGGTCCATCATATCCTTGGACTAATTGTTTCCAGATGACTTTGATTTTCTCCACTCTTCTTTGATCCATAAGGGGAGACCAATAGTTGTGTCTTAGATGGCCACTCAAAAATTTTTAAGACTCCAGTCACTACTCACCAAAGTAAGATGTAGAACAAGATTTTTATGTACTATGTTGTGTCAGTTGAGCATGATAAAACAGATTTCTTGATTTCCCAGGCCAGGACACTGTTCACTACACCATGCTAACTGCCTCTGAGGAGTTGGTGCTGCTCCTTCTTTTGGGACAGTAACAGTAGGGTGGGGTTGCTAATATGTGCAGCTTTAGGCTTCTGTGTTTCTGACTTTCCTGATGATCCTCTTAGTACGTAAGAAGGGTGATAAAGTTGTAGGGGAGTATCATGTAAATTGACTGCTCCCTGCTCTCTACCACTTTCAGTTTACAAGAGACGTCTATGTCTATGGGTCAGAGACATGGTTCTCAGAGAAGTAGGGCTGAGCTAGATTGCCTGTATGGAGTGGCCAGACCTGGCCAGACCCCATCTCTCTTGGGGCTGTATTTCAAGCAGTGTTGGATTACCCAATAAGCAAGGTAAGCATGAGCTTACTTGTGTTTACTTACTAGTATGTAGTGAGTAATTTCATTTTTTCACCACATCAAAGATTCTGTTTCTAGGTATGGCTGGCATCTGTCTCTCTCCCAACACTACAACACCTTTCTATAGAATCAAAGCCTCTCTTGAAATGTGTAACTGCTGGCAGAGACGGAGTATCCAGTAAGCAAGGTAACCACCAGCTTATGTGTGCATACTTACTAATCTGTACCAAACAGTTTCATGTGTTTTTCACCACATAAAGATCTGGTGAAACCCATGTGAAATTGTTTGCTACAGATTAGTAAGTAAACACAAGGAATCCATGCTTACTTTGCTTATTCGGTAATCAACCCCTGATTTCATGCCACAGGCCCTCTTAAGTTGGGACCTTATGTGCCCTCTCTCATTGGCTTCCTTTGTATGTGCCAGTGCCCAGCTGTGCTGCTGTGTCAGCTTGAAGGCATTATGGGTCAGTTAAGTCAGCCATTAGCACGTTCCAAATGACCAAGACTTTGCTTTGATCAACAACAGTTGCAGCTGAAAACTGGAACATGAGGTGGGCCAATGAGAGAAACAAGACTTGGCTCTGTTGACAAGTGCCAGGGAACTAATTACTCCGTATACCTATCTCTTAAGAGGATGAGATTGGCCCAGCAATGCAAAAAGTTGGTGCCACTTTGAAGAGCACTAGCCCTGGCTGTTCAAGGTGGACTGAGGAGACAAAAAGCAAAATAACCAAACTCAATGCCATAGAGTTGATTGTGACTCATAGCAACCCCCTTTGGGTTTTTCAGGCAGTGAATCTTTTGCCCAGTCTTCTTTCCACAGGGTGACTGGTAGGTTTGAACCACCTACCTTCTGGTTAGCAGTCAAATGCCTTTGGCACTATGCCACCAGAAGACCTCTGAGGAGATAGAGTAGGTGGGATCTAGATGCCTTCATCACTTCAGAAGTGACCTCTTGTGGCTCTCCTGGGCACTGCACTCTGCATGGACTGGACCTCTGCATCCTTCAAAGTGGCCTTTGCTAGAGCTGGGGTGGGGTGGGGTGAGGGTGGGGATGGGAATGGGGAGATAGCCATGGATGGTTGGAAGCGTAGAAGCAGAAGGTGCTGGTTGTTATTTCAGGGATTTTGTCTTTTGGTTTGAGTTCCCATAATTCTGTTGCCTGCCCCTTTCTCTTACTCTGGAAAGTAGCCACGCAGGGGATCCCTCTAAGCATGGGTGTGCATTCTGGAGTGTGTGTGTGGGTTGTGTTTCAAGGCTGGGCAAATACTCCTATCTAAGGAGGCAATAGGGACCAGAAGAATGGGGCATAAGAGCTCGGAGGGACCAAACCTGGCAAACTTAAGCAGCTCCTGCCAGCCTCTTCTCTTTGGGCCCATGGCTAGGGCTTGTGCCTAACTTAGGAGCCAAGCACGGCCCCTGTCCTGACAGTTCTGCATGTTCTCAGAGGCCATGCCAGACTAGGGCCTCATGCTCAGGAGTTCAATCTCTGGTTCTTATTCCAATTTCCCAAGCCTTGCTTGCTGAGAAAGAAGGGGAAGGAGAGATGCATCAGGCTTTCTGGGCTTTGTCAGCAATCTAGTGGGGGACTTGGACATGTGCCAGCCTATAGTTCTGGACCCAGCAGAGAAGAGGAAATGGGGCATCGGGGTGGATAAGCAGTTGGGTTCTTGGGATCCCACACTCCTGTGGCACCAGTCATTGGGTCCTCTCATTTCATCTGCCATCTGTCGCACTGACCTTTTTGTGACCATGGTCCCTTTAGCAGCAGCACCTGCACGTAACTGGCTTTTTATAAAATCTGGGCTGATTGATTGGTGGGTCCAGCATGCCTTCTGGTTTCAGAGTCCACATCCCATTTATCTCCCACCTCCTTTCCCTCCAAGAAAGCACCAGCCACCTGGCCATTGCTCAGTTTTTTCAAAAACACCATTTTAATAAGTAAACAACAGAAATAAAAGATTTTTCTCTGACTGGAGCTCAGACCCCCTATAATACAGTACATGTACAAAGTGGCCTGCAGTCAACTCCTTGGCTTCTATCTGGGGTTCTCTGACCCCTTGTTCCATGCCAAATTCCTGGTTCCTCTGCTCCTCTCCAGAATATACCTGCCTGCTCCCCCATTCCCAAAACATGGTGGCCAGGAGGGCAGCCTGGCAAGTGGCTGGGGTTGCTGGAGGGGCTATGTTGTTGTTGTTGTTGTTATGTGCCGTCGAGTCGGCCCCGACTCATAGCGACCCCTCCTTGGGTTTCCGAGGCAGTATCACTACGGAAGTAGGATTGCCCAACCTTCCTTCCAAGGAGTGGCTGGTGGGTTTGAACCGCCAGCCTTCTGGTTAGCAGTCAAGTGCTTTAGCCACTATGCTACCAGAGCTCCTATAGGAAAGAGAAAGTAACAGCCAAATTGACATCAGAGGAAGGTGTCCTTTCCTCAGTGTACAGGGCTGCCAGGGAAGCAGTGTGGTGTCCTGCTTTGGTGTGGAGCATGAGTGCCCAAGAAAGCCTAGCCTGAGCTTGGAGTAGGGTCCCTGAACCCCTTAAAACCCCTAACAATGATCACCTCTACCGGGAAGGGGCAGGAGACAGAACTGTCCATTCCTGGGACATAGAGAAGAATTAGCAACTTCCCCGAGGGGATGGTGTGAGCATGCCAGGACTATCCCGAGGCCACCCTGGAGAGAGCAGTTTTGGCCACTGGTGATGGCCCTGTGAGGTGCATCAGGGCTCAGTTTCCACCACCATCATGTTAACCCTGCCACAGGGTCCTACATGCCAGGGCTGGGTGGTGGTCACGTGCAGAGAAGTGCTTGCACGCTGCCTATGAATTCTAGACCGGGGGGGCAAGGCAGGAGGGAGGGTCAGGAGAATGCTGGTTCTTGACGCATATGCTCCAGCTGTATTCTGCCCGTCGGCAAATATCCCCTGACTTGGACCCCAGGGCACCGATACCAAGGAAATAGGCCCTAGTAGGCATTGCAGGTGAGGAAGGGCACAACTTCTTGAGGGATTGGTGGCATCTCTTCCCAGGTGGTATGTACAGGAAGTGGAGGGACAGCAGGAAACCAGGAGCCCTGTGGCTCGCCATGATGGAGGGCTGAGCCGGCTTCCCAGGCTGCCTTCACCTAGATGGAGACTTCATATTCTCTCGTCTCCTGCAAAGGAAAGAAACTGCTGGGAGTTGGAAACTTGTATACAGTTTGCCAGGCCTTAATCCACTTCCCAAGGGAAAGGGAAAGAGTAGGAGGGCTTGGCAGTACCCTCAGAGGTACCTGGCCAAGGGAGCAGGGAATCTGGTCCTAGATAGGGTACCAGGGTTGGCATGGATACTTACTCCAGTCTCATAAGTTGGATTATCAAATGCTGACTCCACGGTGATGCGGTCATAGGGGCGGGGGTGTGTCTGGGGCAGCTGAAGAGGGCTTTTTCCCTGGAGCCTGTAGGGACAGAGCAGCCTATGAGTTGGGAATACTGGACAGGGCTGGGCCCAGTAGCCCCTAGGTATGCAGGACAGACAGGGAAGCCAGACTCACCTGAAGAAATAGAGATACACACCTCCCACCAGCAACACCATTGCCACTAGTGGCAAGAAGATGGCAGCTGCAATGTGGCCAGCATCCAGGGTGTTGGAGGCAGCAGGCGCCTTGGCAACTGGAAGTACAGAGAATGGGATTGGGGCAGAGATTCCTGTCACCTGAACTACATTCCCTCATCCCTTCCCAGGAGCATCTGGCCACCAGGTCCCTCTAGCTGGCTGAGAACAGAAAGCATTGTTTGCCCTGCTAGTCCCAGACGGTTTTTTTTTTTTTTTTTTCTTTCTCTGTGCCCTCCCCTGGTCTAGAAGCAATGAGAACAGGACTGGGGAGACCAGTTCTCTGGCCCTCAAGGGTGGGAGCTCACCATCCAGGCTGCGGCCGCTGTAGAACCCATCCAGAGAGGCTGGAACAAGAGGGGAAGGCCAAGGGCAATACATGAGCCCAATGGGCCAAACCACTAAGGCAGGGAGTGGAGGTAGTGGGCTGATCATGAGAAGGGTTTGTCCAAGGAAAGCCCAACCCAGCATTTATCTTGATAATGCCAGGTCAGAAGGATCTGGCAGAGACTAGGGAGTGATCAAGGGTAACATGAAGAGGGCATGGGTAGAACCTGTGAATATTGGGCATCTTTGCCAGAGGAGGAGTTCTGGGGGTGGCAGGGCACTCACCGGCCCTACAGGTGGGTGGGGGGTCACTCCAGTGTGAGGGGTGCCCGGGAACACACTTGATGCTGGACTGGCCTTTTAGCACATAGCCAGGGGCACATGAGAAGTGGATGGTGGCCCCTGCTGGATGTAGCCTCTTCTCAGGACTGCGGGCACCATTCTCGGGGGCACTGAGGCCATGGCATGGCTTGAGCTGTTCCACTGCAAAGCAGGCAGAGCCTAGTGAGGATGCCAGGCTCCTGGTCTCCAGGGACAGCTTCCTTTATTCCCTACCAGAAGCTACCCCCCTCCCTATCTGACACTTACAGAGACATTTGGGGGCCCGGTCACTCCACTTGGGGCTGCCAGCCTGGCGGTCATGGCAGGTGAGGATGGCGCTACCCGTCAGCACAAAACCCTGATCACAGATATACTGCACGGTGGCCCCCACAGGAAACTTGGGGCTGGATATGAGGCGTCGGCTGTGTTCCACATCCCCAGGGTCGTGGCAGGAAGTCACTGTGGGGGGTGATGGAAAGAAGTAAGCCCAGGAGAACTCAGCAAAAGGCCAGTTCACCCTGGCTTTGTTCCAGGCCTGCCAACATCTTTATGCCATAAAGCTCCACCCCCTATTTATCAGTCCCTACTTTGTGTTGGTGTGTCTCCCAGTTTGTCCCCTTCCCATCCATCAGAGTTAACAAACACTGATTGCCATCTACCAAAAACAAAGTACTTGGAGTTCTTGACTGATAAACTAAACAAACCAACCCATTGCCACAGAGTCAGATACACCCATAGCGACCCGACCCCTCGTTGGGTTTCCAAGGTGGTATCTCTACGGAATCTTCCTTCCGAGGAGTGGCTGGTGGGTTTGAACCACGAACCTTCAGTCAAATGCCTTAGGTACTATGCCACAAGAGCTCCTAACGCCAGGAAAAGATAGTATTTCCTTTTTACAGATGAGGAAACTGAGGCTATGAGAGACAAAGCAACTTCAAGGATACCAGTGAAAAGAGCTAGAGTCTAGTTCAGAATCTGGGAGAAAGATTTGAAGGTGGTGTTGAGCAGGGAAGCATGTGGAACAAGGACACTCACCCCGCTGGCAGGAGGGCACATCCTCACTCCAGGTTAGGTCCCACTGACACATGAGGACACTGGATCCCACCACCTGGTAGCCAGGGTAGCACTGGTAAGTGACCACGGTGCCATGTACCAACTCAGGCTGCGACGGGCTCTTCCAGCCATTGGGGATCTCAGGCAGCTCTGGACATGTGTCATTGCGGGGTACCTCTGGGGACACAGGGGTGGCAAGGTGCAGGCCTTCAGCTAGCACCAAGGTAACTCTGTGCTTGCCCACCTCAGGGTACTCAGGATCCTGCCAGTTGATCCTGGGCCTAGACTGGCCTGGCCATGCTCATTGAGACATCCTCCCTGCTCAAGGGCCACTCCCTGATATCTCTCAGTCTCCTAGATTCCAGGGTTATCATGTAGACATGACCTTCTTTCCAAAAGCACTGAGGCCAGTTCCTCAGTCCTGGCCTCAGAGAGACGTGGCCAGGTAAGGTGGGAAAAACTGTCACTTCTAAATCTTAGAAACCTGTTTTTGTTGTGATGTTCTTCCTGCAGTCTAACCCAAGTCCCTCTTGCTGCAACAGAGGCTCCTTTTCTTTTACAGGGCCTTCAGAGAAGATGGAGAGCAGGGCCAGCTTCCTTCAGATGATATCTGAAGTATTCCCAGTGTCCCCTTATCAGATGTGAGCACTTGGGCTCTTTGTCACCCTGGCCTCTCTGTCCATGGTGCAGGGCCTGCTCTCAGGCACCCCTTCTTCCCCAGGCAGCAGGGCGGGACAGGGGCAAGCTCACCAAAGAAGTGGATGACGAAGCCCTGCTGGTAGCCCAGCACCGAGGCCCCGGGGTCCGACTGAAATTGGATAGTGACGTCAGCCATGGAGGTAAAGAGCTTGAAGTGGCCACGAGGCCCTGAGTACTGGCCCAGGACCCGGGCTGTCAGGTCATCCCCGTCATAGAAAGTAAGCACGTCACCAGGGCCGATGCGTAGCCTATGGGGGAGGACTGTCAGGGCAGACCAGGCCGGGGGGGCTCAGGACGGGCAGGGCAGGAGGGCTGACTTGGCCTTGCCCACGGGCACTCACACTCGGACGTCCAGCATGATGCGCTTGTCCTCTTCCACATGCACACCCCAGATGCAGTCCTGTCCACGGCCATAGGGCTCCGGCCAGTTGGGAGAGAGCACCACGCCAGCCGAGTCTGTGATCTCCCCACTGCACACAGCTGGAAGGCAGGGGAGGCCCAGGAGGCACGTCCCCTCTGCATTCCCCCAGTACCATGTCCTGGGGCTGCCACCTGCCTGCAGGAGTGCTTGCCCAATGCTGGGAGCCTTCCCCCTCCAGAGGAAGCTTGAATTACACATGTCACAGGGCTCTTGTGCACCCAGGCTCTGTGGCTGGCTCCCTAGTGCCCCACCCTGCTCCCTGCCCCCACAGGCCCATCCGCTGTGCCTACTGACCTCTGCAGGCTGGCTCTGTCTCATTCCACTGGGGGTCATGGGGATCAACACATTCGATGATGATGGAGCCCTGCTCCAGGGTGTAGCCAGGGTCGCAGCTAAACTCCACAGTGGTTCCCACAGGATAGGAAGGTGCACTGCTGCTGAAGTTGCCATATTTGACGAAAGGCTCATAGCAATGGCCCTGCTGGAAAGCTGTGAATCACAGGTGCCGGCCCAGCTTAGCCTCCTCTGGGGCAAACCAAGGGGGCAGACATCCTCCTGCTCCCCAGGGTCTTTCTCTTCCTGAGTATTGCTGGGCAAATTTATGTCCTGGGCTTGGAGCAAGGGCCAGAGCCTGCCCAAGGCATCCATCCTGATTACACCAGGAGGGAATCTTGATCACTGTAGTATCGCCAGGGCCTAGTTTTATGCTTAGTACATAGTTCAGTCAGTCAGTCCAATTGCTATCAAGCCGATTCCGACTAATGGCGGCCCCATGGTGTCAGAGTAGGACTGTGTTCCACAGGGTTTCCAATAGCTGATTTTTCTGAAGTAGATCACCAGGCCTTTCTTCCAAGGCACTTTTGGGTGGACTTGAACTGCCAAGTTTTTGGTTAGCAGCTGAGCGCTTGACTGTTTGTGTTACCCAAAGGTGCCTGGTACAGAGTAGGTGCACAATAAATGATTTTTTGAACGAATGAATGAATGAGCACATGCATACAGGAGTGCTTCTAGAGCATCTCTTGCAGCAATTCTCCTTCCCTAAGAGCTGGGCCTTCTCTGCTCTTTAAACTCTGGAGAATTCATTCTCTTGGACCAGAGGGAGGGTAGGAGCAGGGAGAAGGCAGCTAAGTGCCAGGTGGGTAGGGGCAGGGTTGGAAGGAGTGATGGAATGGAGGCAGAGAGGAAGAGGGTATGAGAGATGAGACCCTAGGCCTAGGAATCGCCCATCCTCTCACCATTACTCCACCCTACCCAGCCCCCTTCAGGTCCCTCTATCCCCTGGTCAGGTCCAGCAGGCTCACCCTCGTAGCGTAGGGCCATGCCTGCAGCTGCCCCACTGCTGTCAGTACTGAGCTCTACAAAGAAGTGTCGGCCCGAGCTGAGCAGGCCCTCAATGGGCAGGTACTCCACCTCGTAGGAATCGTACACGGGCGGAGCCTCCACGTTGTCTCCATTGCGAATGATGAGCCTGGACCAGGAGAGTGGCAGCTGGGTGACTGGTCCCTGACCCAGGTAGGATATGACCCCAGGCCTGGGTGCTGCCCCTCCAGTAGGGTTATCTGACAGGCATTCCCATCCCACTGGGACAGCCCCTTACCTGTCATCATCCTCTGCCAGGGAAACCTTCTCAAAGTGCAGGTGCAGCCGCTGGCCCTCAGGAGCCTCAAGCAGCCAGTGGCAGGTGAGGTTGTTGCTGTAGTTGCCCGGGAAGCCCGGAGAGACGATGCGACCAGTGGTGGCATTGCGAATCACCCCACCGCAGGCAGCTATGAGGCAGGGACCAGGATACTACACTGGGACTCTGACTGGATACTAGGTAACCTAACTGCTCTGGGCCCTGACAAATGTCCTCTCACCATCCCAGCTCTGTGCCCTCTGCATGGGGCAGCGGGGTTCTTTGCCGCTCTGCTATCTTTGCCTTCACGGTCCCGAAGGCCAATCCTCTTTCCCTGTGATTCTGCAGCTCCAGGCAGCCTGGGTCACATCAGAACCCTACCTCCGAACCTCTCACACCTCTGGAACTATTCTTGTATGACTCTTTTGATGGTAAGTGGATCTGTCACTGCCTGGCTGTGTGGCCCTGGGTAAGTCACTTCCCTTTTCTGCTGACTTCTACAGGAAGCCTTCCATGTTCTTCCCAGGCAGCCTTCATTAAAGCCTCTTACCTTTGGCTCTAACCTTCTTGGGTCCATCTTTTATTTCCACCTCATGCAATTTTCCTAAAACCAGTTATTTGCTTGGGTATGGCCCTTAACTAGGACCCCTGGGGCGGGGGCAGGTCTTTTAAAGCCAAGCAGTGACTGTATTGGTGTGAGTGAATGTAAACAAGGGGTGGGACTAAATGGGGGGGGGGGACAGAGCACCTGGTGTGCGTGCCATCCACCCTAAATCTGGTGCCCTTATCAGACACTTTGTGAAATAGCTCTCTGGGCATCTACCATCTACCATTGTCATTCTTGGGCTGACCCCTGGCACTAGGTCTTCTGTTTTTCTTCTGAGCAGCTTGCCTGTCCCCATCAGTGAGGATTGCTGGGGACTTGGCCATAAACTCCTCATTAAGTGGTCAGAGAAGGACCTCAGGCGGGAGGAATATGGCTGGTTCCAGGCTGCGCTTTCCTCCACAGGATACAAAGCTCAGGGCCCTTCTGGTTCACAGAGTCCAGGCTGCCATCACTTACAAACATAGCACCTTTGTCTCTACATGCTCAAGGAGACAGAATATTTTAACCCACTAAAGTTCTTGGGGGTGGAGGGGTAAGTTTCTTCTTGGTAGAGAGGGCAGAGCCACCTTTTTGCTTAGTCTCAGAATGGAACTGCCCTTCCAATTTTATCATGCTCCGTCCTTTGCTTAAAATTCCTCAGTGGCTCCCTATTACCCTCAAGATAGCGTCCAAGCTCAAAATGACATTCAAGACCCATTGTGAATGCAACTTCTCCACTGAGTTTCAGCCTCCTCTCCTCATACACCCTCATCAGGCACAGCTCACTCTGTTCTCACTATGCCATGCCTGACACCTTTGCGTGTGCTCTTCTAGGAATCCACCCCACTCCCTCTAGCTAACATTCTTTAACCTGTCCTCGCCCCCTCCTTCATTTTCGATTGGCTCTCCCTTCCTTAGATCCCTATACCCCCCACCCCGCGTTTGCCCTGGTTCAATGCTGAGCTTCTTGCCAGTCTTCCTGCTGGATGGGGAGTTCCTGGGGAGCAGAGACACTTCTACTTCTGTCTTAATCAGCCCTGGCTGTGTGTGACACCCAGGAAGGATTTGTAGAATGAAATAGGGTTCAAAAGCCCCAGTGCCTCTCCTATCCCAAACAAAATACTTCATTTTCCTTCCTCCAACAAGCCCCGTCCACTGCCACCCCAGCAGGCCCAGAACTGGGGAGTCTCCTTTCCCTCTTCAGTGTCTCTGGACCCTCTGCCCTCCTCTCCTCTTTCAGCCTCTAGACAACCACCTGGCTGGCGCTCCTGAGGGGCAGGTCTGAGCTCCTCCCTCTTCCTCTCCAAAGCCTCAAATAGCTCTCCAGTATCTTAGCCTGAAAGGAGCTCAGGTGGTATAGTGCCTGAGGCGTTGGTGGTTCAAACCCACCAGCTAAAGATTTACCAGCTCGGAAACCCAGTGGGGGTCACTATGAGTCGGAATCCACTGGATGGCAGTGAGTCTGGTTTTTGGTATCTTGGCCTAACACAGTCAAGATCTTCCTGTTACCACTTCCCCACCTGGCTGTCTTCAGTGTCCTTAAACCCCCCTCTCTTCTTCCCACCTCTGTGCCACTGCCCATGTTGTCCCCTCCACTGAAATGGCAACCCTTCAGCGTTACGTTTCCCAGGAAGCCTTCTAAGAACGACTGCTTCCTCTCCTCCCAGGACACTCTGTGTCTCTTCTATGGCACTTTTTACTTCCTGCTGTAGAAGGTAGCCACCTATGGGGGATTCTTCTTCTTCTCTTTCCAGGAATTTTGAGTTCTTTGAGGGCCCTATTTAATCCAGCTCTGTAGACCTGTAATGCCTCTTTCAGTAGGTGCTTAATAAGTGCAGGTTGGATGAATGCCATTGAAATGTGACCATTTTCTGGCTCTTTATGGACAGTGAGGTTCAGGGACAGTGCCAGCCAGCATCAGAGAGCAGGGATGAACCTCCCCTGCCTCCCCTGTTTACCATCCAGTCCTCTCCCTTGGGACCACTCACCAATGCAGACAGGCTCCTGGGAATCCCAGAAGGGCTGGGTGGCATTGAGACAGGTAAGGAGCCTGGCGCCCTTCAGCTGGTAGCCAGTGGCACAGTGGAAGCGGGCACTGCCTCCTGGGTGGAGGCTTGTGACAGTCACGTCTCCGTAAGCCGGTCGTCTGGGAAAGTGGCAGCTCAGGATATAAGCTGTGGAGGGAGAGAGTGGGTGATGTTATGGGGAAGGGGTTGAGCCACAGTCGGGGGTCGGGAAGCCTCTGCTGCCAAGAAGTATCATTTGGGGCCAGAGGAAGCACAAGGAATTCCAGAAAAGACTCCAGTGCCCTCCCCTGAAGGTGCTGATGATATTTCCAGCAGTCTGAGCGCACACAGAGCTGGAAGGTAGGAGGCGTGGGTCCCGTTTCAAGCTTTGTGATACTTCAGGTGGGTTACTTAACCTTTTTGTGTCTCTCTGTTTCTACATCTGTGAAATGAGGTTCAAAATGCCAGTCCATCTACAGGGTTATTGTGAAAATAAATAGGGTTACATTTTGTTCAGCTTGGTATCCTCAGAACTCAAGATATGTTTATTGAATGATGTATAAGTGGCAAAGCACTTGAAATAGTGAAAAGCCTCCGTAAAATCTTGGTATTTCTTCTACAGATGACAAATGTGACTTGTAGCAGGAAAGACTAAAGTCAGGCAGTAAAAGCTTCTTTTCATTCATGGAGAAATACGAAAATGTTTGATGGAAATGGCAGTGGACTTGTAAAAACCGGATGGGGGGCAAAGGCGGGGTGCAGGGCATGGATTCTTGGAAATTGGGGGAGGGACAAGTTGCCTGGGAAACCTGATAGCTTTTGGAATTGCCATACCAAGTATGACCAGATGGTGGCAGCAAATCCTACAAAACAATCTCGCAAAGCCCAACCTGGGACAGAGGTCCGAATGGCCAGATGAAGGCTTGTTGTTGTTGTTGTTGTTGTTGTTATGTGCAGTCAAGGCGGACCCCTCCTTGGGTTTCCGAGGCAATATCACTTCAGAAGTAGATTGCCCAACCTTCCTTCCGAGGAGTGGCTAGTGGGTTTGAACCTCCAGCCTTCTGGTTAGCAGTCAAGTATTTTAGGCACTACGCTACCAGAGAGGAAGGCTTAGAGAGGGCCAAAGAAGGAGGCTGAGGGAAGGGTTGGGATATAGGGTCTGAAAACCCTTGCGAGTGATAGGGATGTGGACTGTGTAGACTGAAAGAAACTAACCTGACTGCTGGCACTGGGGGTATAGGAAGAGAGGGCCAGGCAGGGGCTCCACTAGCCTCTATGTGCCTTTGTGTGGCTACAAAAAGGGGGCTTCCTCTGGGGAGAATGAGTTTTGTAGCTTTTAGTTTTGTGACTTTCACCTCTCCTGGCTTAGTTACAATGCCTGTGAAATGGGGAAATGATTCCAGCTCTTTCCACTCATGCAGGCTGCAAGAGTGACTAACAAAAGGCTGATTGTGATTGGCAGATAGTGCTTAGAAGGTGGGCTCTGGGGTCAGACTGCCTGGGGTTGCTGTGCAACCTTGGGCAAGGTGCTTGAGGTCTCAGTGCCTCTGTTTCCTTGTTTACCCACCCATTCAGAGTATTGCATTTACTGTTGTGGAGGTTAAATGAGAGGACATACATGCGATGCCTGACATAGAAAAAAGTGCCTTACATGCAAGCCTGCTGTTATTGTATGTAATTTTGAGTAATAATAAATAGCACCTCACAACTGCATCCACCTTCCAGCTTCTAAAATGCCTTCATTCTCTTGTTTGAAGTCTACAACATGTTTGGGAGAAAGGAAGGCAAGATAGGGGTTATTAACCCATTTCCATATGAGGTCCAGAGAGAGAAAGACTGAGAGACCTTCCCTTATCACACAGTGAGTAAGTGGTAGGGCAGGCACTGGAAGAAGCTCCTGGCTCTATAGCCACTTGCTTTCCCTCCCCCACACCTGTTTCTACAGTTGACGTGGAAACCGGAGCTCAGGAGTCAGAGAAGCCTGAGAGTTAACTTCCAAGGCAGCCCTGGGTGGTTGTTCAGGGCAGCCATTCATAATGACCTGCGGAGGGATCCGGGCCCAGGATGGGATGAGGAAGAGGATGTGGGTTACTGAACTCAGAATGCAAGGGGTTGAGAGGCTGTCATACAGGGTGGGGGTGGGGGAATAGAGGATCTAGGCAGGGACCAGATGTCGTGCTCAACACTTGAACATACATCTTTCCTTTGAGTTCTCATCACAGCTCTGGGAAGGGAGGGCCCTCATTTCACAGATGAGGAAATTGGGTTATGATGGGGTGAGAGGCAGGAGGCTGGGTAGACGAGAAGCCCCAGTCTCCATAGTGGGTGAAGTGCCACTTCCTAGGGTGAGCTTCTTCCTGTTGCCATGACGACTGTTCCTGGGGAGTCTACACCACTGCAATCTGTCGAGTTATTTTCTCACTGGCGTCTGTTTCTGGGTCCAAGTCCAGTGCCAGAAAGGCTCAGGGTGGTGGAGGAGGATGCCTGGCAGAGCCCTCTGCCTCCCCACCCTGCCTGAGCCTGTGGGAGAGGAGTTGGAATGTGGTCCTGCCTTGTAGGGACGCATCTTTGTGACTTCCAGCACCAGCCTGGGCACCTCTGGCTGGGGTGTGGGTAGAAGGCCCCTCACTCTACCACTGGCACCCTCTTTCTCCAGCCCACAGAGATGCACGTGGGCATACATTCTTCCTATTCCCATCTCCAGGATCAGGGCTAATTACAGCCTATAATTAGGGGAATTACACTCATTAAGGAAAGAGCTGATCATTGACAAAAACTGGGCTGAAGAGGGAGGGATTCTGGGAGCTGAGAGGCAGAGAGGACTGGGCCAGCTCTCCTAGCCCCTCCTTGGGGTCATCACCCGGCCTCCGGCTCTTTACCTGTCAGTCACCTTTGTCTGGCCCAACAGAGAGGAGGGCCAGGGTTTTGTGCAAAGGAATCTGCAGCAAAAGAGAAGGTTACGGTGGTGTGAAATTATGCCCACCGCTAGGGAGGACTGATGAGCCTTTAGGGAGGCCGCCTGGACCGCCTAGACACTCATCCTTGCCTCAGCTGGCCCTGGCTTCTGCCTAGCCCCTGCCTGCCACCAGGCTCCCTGCTGCTAATGCCAGGACTGCAGCTCCCAGCTTGGATGGGGAAGTAAGGAGGGGTTGGCTGCTCCTTAGGTGTGGCTGCAAGCATCCAGGATCCCCAGACAAGTGCCAGCTCTCCTTTTGGCTGTGGAACCCCTCAGGGCTGTGGAAGGGTCCATGTCAATGCAAGACAATCCTGTGACTGTTCACACCAATTATTTCCCCAGTAGCACCCCCCATCCTAAGCTGGCTTAACCTTTGTGGAAAGAGCAAGGGACTAGGATGACTTGGTGCCTGGGGTGGGGGGCAGTTCAAAGGGGAGAGAAGCAGTCTCACCCCTCCTCTCCCTTTCCCCTCCTGATAGCTGTTTAATACTAGTTTCCTTGAGGGAACATGTGTTAAGCATGACATGCACCGTTTTGTTTAATCCTCCTCACGACGTTGTGGGGTAGGTGTTGTGGTCTCAGTTTACAGTGGAGGAAAAAGAAGGTCAGAGAGGTCAAATGACCTGTCTCCAAGGTCAGGAGCCAGTGGAATGATATTCAAACACTCCTAAGTCTGTGATTTTTCCAGAACATCATGCTACTCCCCTGCTTCCTGAAGTGTTCTTAACAGCTGACCGGGGTACAGCCCAGGTCCAGGGTGGGTGAGGCAGTTGGCAGCTAAGGTCCTCTTAAGCCACCATCAAGCCCCTGTGACCTTGATCCCCTTGCATGTGCAGGGAGGGCTTCTATGGCTATTGCCTGTTTAAGTGTCTACCCACTTACAGTTGTACAGAGCTTTACTGCATACCTGTGCTATATGGTAATAGCCCCTCTGTTTTCCCCAAGGTGTAAATAGTATCAGAGACCTCCAGGAGGGCAGCCAATCTAGATCTACCTTGGTAGTGAAAATGGAAGGTGCCAGGCCCAGCAGGTGGTGGGAGGCTCTGGAACCTCAGGGCCGCTTGGTGTGTGGGGCTTCGGATGACTTGGCCTCTCAGCAGGAAAGATTGGTTGGCCAGGGGCAGTGGGTCCGGCCCCCCTAGGCCCTCCACGGTCACCGTCTCTCCCTCTCGGAGGCTGATGTTCTGGACCTGCAGTGGAGTTGAGACAGCAAAGCAGAAGGGTCAGTCTTTTCCTGCCATGGTGCTCTGGTGGCGCAGTGCCTAAGGCATTTGACTGCTAACCAGAAGGCTGGGGGTTCAAACCCACCAGCCACTCCTCGGAAGGAAGATTGAGCAATCTACTTCTGTAGAGATACCACCTCGGAAACCCAAGGAGGGGCCGCTATGAGTCAGATCGACTTTACGGCAGTGAGTTTGGTTTGGTTTGGTTTGCCCTCAGGCTCCTGCAGGCCTTGGGCATGGCCAACCCTGCTGCCTCCCCACTCTTTGGGAAGCAGATCTCCTAGGTCCTGAACTAGGCCTTTTAGTACAGGAAGTGCTCAGCTTACCTTCCCAGAGCTCCATGAGACAGGATCTGAGGCTCAGAGACACTATGTAAGTTACCCAAGGTCATACAGATTATTAGCAGAACTGGGACTTGTAAGCAGGTCTGTTTCCAAAGTCTTTCTACTACACCAGCTACTTCCTGTCCCTTCCCTTCCCTGGGCTCAGTTTTCTCATCTGTGAATTGGAAATGGGGTAGGTGTGTTGAACTAGATGGTGTTTGAGGGTCTGGCCAGCAATGTGAGGTCTTAAACATTGGACCCAGGTGTCCAGCTGCCCTTGGACATCCCCTATTGAATGCCTCACTCAGTCTGAAGGGACTTCAAATACCCTGCCCCGCTTATACTGAACTACCCTCACCCCCAACCAGCAGCACCCTTGGCTCCCCATCTCAGGGAATGACTTTACCATCTACTGAGTGCCCATGTCAGAAACTGGCATCTTGCCTTCTCCCTCCTACTCCATACCCAGTCAATCATTCAAGCCTCACAATTGGACCTCAAGCCATCCCCACTGCCACCTCCTTAGATCCCCAATAATATTGTTCACCTAGCTCTGGTAGCATAGTGGCTAAGGCACTTGACTGCTAACCAGATGACTGGTGGTTCAAACCCACCAGCTACTCCTCGGAAGGAAGATGGGGCAATCTACTTCCGTAGTGATACTGCCTCGGGAACCCTCTCGACAGCACATAACAACAACAATACAACAGATCAGCAGCCTCCTGAGGGCCTCCCTAACTGTAGGGCTTAACCTCCTTCCCCAACATCAGTATCCTGTCAGCTGAAGCCCCAGACTTGTTGCTGACTATGTTACTTCCTCATTTAAATCCTCCAGCAGCTCCTCACTGAGCCCCTGGACCCTGGTAGATCTAGTCCAAACTCCTTCCGGGGCTCTGAAGGCCCTGCCCAATCTGGCCCGTCAACTGCTCAGCCTTATGCCACACCTGTCCACACACCAGCCACCCTGCTGTTCTCTCTCTTTCTTCTCTGGGCTTCTTTCTCAGTGTCCCTCCTGGCTGTCACAGGTCGACTACCATCTCAGTTCTCAGACCCTCAATCCCTAGCGCATCCTTCTGTGCTCCATGGCTTTATTCGGTCAAACAAGGATTGGACAGCAACAGATTCTGCCTGGAGGGGAAGTGGCAGTGTGGCCTGGGGGAAGGAACACTGGATTGGAGCCCAGAGATCTAGGACCTCATCTGAACTATGTGATCTTGGACAAATACACTGACTTCCGTTTCCTCATCTTATAAAGTGGCCCAGGATAGGTCCTGTTGTTGTTGTTGAGCCGTCAAGTTGGCCCCGATTCATAGTGACCCTATGTACAACAGAACAAAACACTGCCTGGTCCTTGCTACTCAAAATGCGGTCTCTGGGCCAACAGCCATCAGCATTACTTGGGAATGTGTTAGAAATGCAGAATCAAAGTCCCCACCTCAGATCTACTAAATCATAATCTGCATCTTAACAAGATCCCTGGGTGATTCAGAAGCACTGATCCTACATGGTCTCCAAGGTTCCTACAAGCCTAGACCTTCATGGGTTAACTACCGAGTTAGTCAAATGGCATCCATCCAGTGAGTCACCGAATGCTTCCCAATTTTACCTTCCAAATTTCTTTCCAATAGGTTCCTCCTCTTCATCCTCTTTGTTTTGGCTCCGATCATCCCCAACCCATTGTGTCTCACTTGCAGAGTGGGGTCTAACCATCCCTTTCTCACTCCTTCCATTCTCAACTCATCTTCTGGGCCCTGGCTGCCTCAGGTCAGAGCATGTCTCTTTCTCACCCAAACCTGCTGGTTACTTCAGACTGCCCAGAGGACAAGGTCCAACCTTTCCAGCTGGCCCCATTGGCTTTGCCAGTCTCATTTACCTGCACTGCAGTCACAGGCCACCTCCCATATCCACCCCCCTGGACACCTGCATAGGTGAGACCTTGTACAGGGAATGCCTTCCTCTCTCCCTCTCCTGGGGAAGTTGGTCATCCCTTTGGATCCCAGGACCACCATCCTCTGCCTCCCAGGCCAGTCCAGGCAGTCCCTCGGCCTCAGGCTCTCCCCACCTGTCCTCTGCCTATCTCTCTGTGATAGCTCAGGGTGGTATTTTGGGTCACGATGTTCTCTTCCCTAGCCAGCCTCAATAAAGATGTGTGGAGAGAGTGAATGAGTGGGCCATTCATTCTTCATCAGTGTCCTGTGAGCTGAGAAGCACTGAGGATGCTGGGCCCAGTCAGGTGCTGGGAGACAGCCCCCTGCCAGGCTCCTGGCTGCCAGATCGGGATGCTGAGAATGGCTGTGCCATGGGGACTCCAGAGGGGGCGGCTGGGCAGGGAGGGATCCCCATTCCTGCCTGGGAGGAAGGGCCTAGTAGGTCTTCAGGAGGTGAAGAGAAGGCTCAAGGATGGGTACTGGGGGCAGAAGCGCCTCCTCTCTGTGAGGAGCCCCCGCCTGGGCACATTTGGGTGGAGGCTGCCTGACCATCTGCCGGGGACATTCCTCAGGGAATTCCTGCTGCAGGCGGAGGCTGGATGAGGTCCCTTCAAACTTGGAGATTCTGTGATTCTAGAGTTGGGAAAACAAGACTCACACACGTGGAATCTGTAATTATCGAGAGATGCCAGGCAGCATATAATTCTGCCTTAAGTGGCGCTGAATGTGTGCGGCAGGAATTCTCGAGGGGGGAGCCGGAGGGGCTGGAGACTCAGCGAGAGCATGTGGAGCAGGTGGGGTCTGAGAGCATCTTGAAGGGGGGCTTCGAGGAACAAAGAGGGAAATTAAGAAGGTAAAAGCAGAGAAGCAGAAATTACCTTAGTACATGGTTTCTTCCTAGCTTCCCATATACACCCTCTTGCCCTCTCTCCCAGCTCTGACACTGTTGCTTTGTGGGGTCAGAGAGCAGCAGAGGACAAGAGCAGGAGCAATAATGATTGCCACTCGCAGAGCACCAACTATGTGTCAAGCACCTACTATGTGTCAAGCACCCATGTTGTTGTTGTTGTTATGTGCCGTCGAGTCAGACCTGAGGCAGTATCACTGCGGAAGTAGATTGCCCAACCTTCCTTCCAAGGAGCGGCTGGTGGGTTTGAACCCCCAGCCTTCTGGTTAGCAGTCAAGTGCCTTAGGCACTATGCCACCAGAACTCCAGCATCCATGTGGTAGATGATTTATGCCTGTTGTTTCATCCTCATCCTAAGTCTATAAGGAGCCCTGGTGCCACAACGTTAAGTGCTTGGCTGCCATCTGAAAGGTTGGCTGTTTCAACCCATCTAGCAGCTCCAGAGGAGAAAAGATCTGGCAGTCTGCTCCTGTAAAGGTTACAGCCTAGAAAACCCCATGGGGCAGTTCTACTTTGTCACAAGGGGTTGCTATGTGTTGAAATAGACTTACAGGCACCCAAAAACCACCATCACACAATTCTATAAGGTAAGTGGTAATATCCTCATAAATAAACAGAGGCTCAGAGAGGCCAAGGAACTTGCCAAAGGCCACACAGGTGTTAAGCAGCAGTCTTAACCTGACAGGAGGCAGAGGCGGCTCCCTCACCCTCCCAGCTTCATGGAGTGTCACCTGCAGAAGCAGATTTCCAGACATCTCTTTTCCCAGGCCCCCAGGTTTAGCAAGGGGGTAGATTTTAGCCTGGCCTGGCTTTTTCCAAGATTTTTGGATTTGCATTCTTACCAGCCATCCTTCCCTCAGAAACCTGGAAAACTGGGAACATGGGAGCTGAGGCCTCTGGCAGCCTCCGGTCTGGGGGAGGCATGACCCTCTGAAGCCTGATGAGGAGGGTTGAGATGAAAGCTCGGGATGGAGTGGGCTAAGGCTGCCCAGGGCTCCCACCCAAAAAGCACCCTATTCTCAGCCAGAGGCTATCTGGGCAGCTCTGGCTCCCTGGGTTTCAAGCACCCACTTGTGGGCTTGCCACGGTGGCTGGAATGTAATTTGTTACTTGTTTGAGGGCCAGGCCTGACAGGGGCCAGACAGGGCCGGGTGTCGGACAAGGGGGGTGATGAAGTCTTGATGCAATTTGCAGGCGTGTGAAGAGCTTGGCAGACAGATTGAAATGTCAGCTCTGCTCATGAGGGCTGTCTTCCCACATCCCTAGCCAATGACAGGAGGGGTCTGGGGGAGGGAAGCAGGCAGGAGGAAGACAGAGCAGAGGGAGCTGAGGACAGTTCCCACAGGACCCTGGGCTGCCTAACACTGCAGCACACCATGAGGTCACTTCAAAAAAGGAAACAGCCAGTTTGGAGGCTGGTCCCTTCCTGGGTGGCGGTGGGGAGGACTCGTGTTGCCTTCTGCCAACACCCAGACATCAGCATTGACTGGTCTGTCTGTCCCCATGGAAACTGCCAGTCAGGTCCCTAGCCACAAGCCCTATTGGTGTGACCTATAGATGACAAGATGCCATGATTCTTTGTATACATTTGCTCAAGTATAACCCTGTGAGTGAACTCAAGGATGACTTTGGAGTGAGAACCCCACTCCAAGCTCCTGGACACCCCCCACCCCTGCAACTATTAGCCACAGGCCTTCTCCCACACTAAACTCTCTTGGTCACCCCCCACCCATGTGAGACTGCAAGGCCCACTTGCAGGCACACAGCCCCTCATGCCAATAGTAAAATCACAATTTTTCCTACAAGGCC